TTCGAACAGTCGAAGATGGCCCTGGACCTCATGGAGTTCTATCGTCATGTGTGGGAAACAGGACGCATGGGGGAGTTGGTGGGGCAGGGCATTCTCACATTGCTGCATAAAAAGGGAGACGGTAGATATCAGGAACTACCGGCCGATAACCCTGCTTACAGTCATTTACAAGATGCTAGCGAAAGCCCCAGCAAACTGTATGATCCCGGTCTTGGACGATATTATCCATCCGACACAGACATGGTTTGTCAAAGGGCGTATGATCCAGGACAACATTCTATTAGTGAACGAACTTCTCAAACTAACAGTGCAAGACAAGCAGAACGCAGCCGTGGTCTTCATTGACTTTGAAAAAACTTACAACCACGTGGACTGGCTATTTCTGGACAGGCGTATGGAAAAAATGAACATTGGTCCTGTTTTCCGGCGCTGGACCAAAATATTGCATCGTAATGCCACCACTAGTGTCCAAGTAAATGGAAGGTTTTTCCTGGCATTCCCGCTGCAACGGTCAGTCCGCCAGGGGGACCCTCTAGCACCCTTTCTATTTATAATTGTGATGGAGGCTTTGGCAGCAAACCTCCGCGCCAACAAGAACCTAATGAAGTTGCAGATCTCGGCCGTCCCTGAAGACACAATTCATGTCTGTTCAATGTTTACGGATGACCTGACACTCTTGGTGGATGCCACCTCAACGAACACGGAAGAGATTGGGCACCTATTTGACCAGTTCACAGCGGTCTCAGACATGACCGTTCACTGGGGGAACAAGACCTTGGGGTGGTGGATCCACCATCAAGGGGTGTGTCCCCCGGAGCTACCACGGGTCAAGTGGCTCCCGAAAGCGACTCCAGTTAGGGTACTGGGAATTATGTTGACAACATTAGGTGACCCTGCATCGAATGACGATTGGATCCTTAAGCCCGCTTTGGAGAAAGTGGGTCCCTAATCGGTAGGGCGTTGGCGATCAACAACGCAATGTTAGTGTCCTTTTGGTACAAATCTGCAATTTGGGCCCTCAGTAAGGAGGTCATCCAATCGCTCAAGCGGCAGTTAGCTTCCTTGCTATGGAGAGGCAACAGTGAGCTCCCGAGAGTTATTAGCAAGGTGGCATGGTCATCAGTGATCCAACCTAATGACAAAGGGGGCCTGGGGATTCTAGACCCGGATACCCAGATCACAGCATTAATGGTTCAATGGGTTAGGAGACTGCTCTTCACACAACACCTCCCATGGTATGCCCTTGCGCTGGAACAGATAGCTCGATTGACCCCACAAGCAATTCAAGTTTTAACCCATTGACCTGGCAGGAAGACCGTTTCTGGACTAGACCACGGTGGCATCGAGTCGGTCGAGGCTTGAGCCAGGACATAACCCGCAAGGACTTGGCCAAGGACGACTTTTGGACCCGGGTCTTGAGGGTCTGGCGCCAGCTCCCGCTACCTGACAAATCCTCACCGACCAGGTGGGAGGAAGTGATGCGTCAGCCCCTCTTTGGGAACAGGAGTATCACAGACCGGTATGGTAGGGTGTATCGCAGCTTAGACGCCCCATGGAGCAGTTGGGTCAAAAAAGGTATAATGAAAATTAGGGACATATAGGACCCAAGGAATAGGGACTGGAATACAACTCCGCAACTGAGGGCCGTGCTAAAGCACTGTCACAACATTGAAGAGAATTTAGAACTGCTAATTTTTTCTATCCCTCTAGATTGGGTATGCATCCTACGCAAAGGGCCGCGACTGTTAGAAGGAGACTGGGTAGTTGCCCCGGGTGACACAGAAAGTGTAGGTAATGCGGTGGAGGCACGCGCAGACGAAACGCTGGTTAACCTCTTCCACATAAGTAAGGATAATGTGATTACTTGGTACACCCCTGAGGTGATGAGATGGTGGAAGAGTGCGGACCTGCAAAGAATCTGCGTGCTGTGGGATAAGGATGTATGGATTGCATACCAGCCAGAGACCCCTGTGGCAGAGCTCCCCTTTGACCCCGAGGAGTGGCAGTGGTTAACTGTGAAGGCTACGTATTGTCTGCTGTGACCAAAGGTGACTATAAAAAAAAATTGTGAAGGCCCGATGGAGGTCTCGTTTGTAGGGATCGAGACTGTCCAACCCATCCGATGGTCCACCATCACAAGGCCTAGGCCAGCAAAGATGGCCTCGCTGCATTGGAAGATAGAGCACCGCTGCCTGCCCACCAATGACTGGTTGATAGATCGTACATAACTCGAGCAGAAGGGGCTGGCGTTACCATGGTGTAAATCGTGCCGCACTGCCTTCCCCCCCCGTAAGATTCCGGAAACCATAGGGCACATATTCATGCAGTGCCCGGGGGCTGTCCTCACATGGCGATGGTGGGATAGGTTCTGGACTCTACTGGGCACCGGGTCCACTTGGCCATGGGATTTTGGAAGGCCATACTATGCGACGCATGGACCTCTCCCACGGGCAACAACTTTGAGAATAACATGTTTAAGATTGGGAGGAGAGCCGTCGTGTGGGCCCTCTAGAGGAGACACTGTATGCATGCCATCGAAGGGGTCCGCATAGCTGGGAAGAGGCAAAGGACATGATAAAACAATATATACATCAAGAACTCATGGTGCAATGGCAGAAAGTTAAAAACCAATTGGATTTGTTTCACTCACCAAAAGATATAATACAAGCAATACATCAATTCTCTGGGGACTGGTAGGGCAGTGAGAACGGGGGCTGCATCGCCTTCGTCAGATGTAACGGCAGGCCCACCCAGTAAGGTAACCAGGAAGAACTCAGGAGAGACTACCGTATGGCGGTCTGGCACAGACTGAAGAGGCAGCTCCACCCCCAATGTTTGCAGTTTTCAAGGCACATTTATCAGTAACCCTGTGCAGTCAATCCCCTGGAAACAGGGCAATCAATGCTGGCAGGCCTTCTGATGTTCAGGGGACGCTGGACCCGTTTTCCAGCAGGTGCTGCTCCCCACCGATAGACCGGAGCAAATTCACCCCCCCCCCCCCCCCAAAAAAAAGAAAAGAGAAAAAAAGGAACAGTCGAAGAGACTGGTGTCAGTCAGTTCGTGTTCGTGTTCTCGCCCCGCAGAGCGTGACACTTGGTTAGAGCGAAAGAAAGAGATCATCAGTGCTACTCATTACATGGAACAATTCCCATTCACTTGCATCACTCGATTGTTCACATAGCATACCATTCATCAACATGGCTTAGACACACTTCACACTTAGACTCGACATCACGCACGACTCGACAAATGTAGCGAGAGTGAAAGAAGAGTGTGCAAGTACACACGTCATATGCCTTCCGTCAATAAGTTCAAAATATTTAATGCTGCAGCAGCATCACTACTACAGCAGCATGACATGAAGCCCGAGAAAAGCAGCCTACTCATAAGCTGCACTCTTCGGTGCATCGTGAAAAGCTCGAAGACTGTGATGAGAGCCGTGGTGTCCCACTCCTCTCATCCTGGCGAAGTTGCCCAACTAGTTTCTGCTGGCGCCAGACGTGCATCGTCAGGGGCAAACGAAAGCTGAGTGTGATCCACTCTTCTCCAGTATAAATACTACTATCACTCTTGCTCCTCGTACCTCCAAACTTTGAATTAAAAAACTTCTCCCACGCTGTGTCTAAGAATGTCGGCGTGCGCAAGTTCTGCACATTTTCTGTGGCTTCCTACCCCACCCAATTTCCGCTCACGTTTTGGCGCCGTGCCTCAAGCTGCATCTGTTCACCAGGTACGTCCTGGCGCATGCGACAAAATTCAAGTCCCGCCCAAGTGCTTTTCCAAATCGTAAAACCTCCGTACCCCGCCCGATTACTTTTCATGTCTCGAATTTCATGCGGTCCTGAAGAGCGTCCTTGTGCTTGCTATGAGCCGCACCCATTTTTTTCTTGAAAAAGCGCTGTGTCCCTGCTTTTGCTTTGTCCCGCCGAAAATAATTTCCTTCTGGACTCGGTTTAGTTCCCGCCACGTGCCAGCTAGTCATCCCACCCACATTGGTCCCAGGCCCCGTCCTTTCTTTCAGAGAATTTCCTCAGCTGAATGTCAAAAAATTGCGTTGGAAAACCACTCCTTCGTAGTTCAATCGCTTTCCGACGAGTTTACACATCGTCCCACTTGGTTCGCTGAGCGAGGGACATATCGGTCTCCACCTCGTAGTGTCTTTATGCTTAGGAATAATATAGGTTTTCCCCAGTTCGTCCTTCTGGACAGCCGTTAAAATTGGAATGGTACAAAATAATCGAGAAGTGGTCCAAATTTTTGCATGAGCGAAGGTCTTTTTACTTGAGTGTCTCTGTCCATTCTGATGTGTGATTCTGATGTTTTGCCTTGTGGTAAAAAAAAAAGAAGGTATTTCCCAGTTCGCCCTTGTCGTTCCATTTGGCTGTTCTGTAGTAGCCTTCTCTGCTGTACTATTCCTTGCTTCTTGCTATTGCTTCAGTCTCCCTCTCTGTCAAAACCCTGAAGGGCCTGAAGCCTTCATTTCGTATGAACATGGATTCCATCACTTCAACAGATATCCTTGGACAGCAGACGAGAGTGTCTCCTCGGTTGTGATCGACGGGTGACATGGCGAATTCTTGCAGTTGTGCTTTGATACTTAACTACCCCTTGAAAACTGGTTTAGCGCCACTCAATACCCCTCAGACCTCCCTGGGTGGCCCATCACCAAATCGGAAGATAAGGCGAGATTCTGACTGCTCAAGCAAAATTCAGTCCAGCCCTGAAGTCAGAGTTTCACCTTTCTTTTTAATCCCTGCCTCTTTTTGAGCCGCCCGTTTCTTTCCGGGCGCGTGGGCTAGTAACTCATTTGTGCCGATTGCACTTGAAGTGCTATAGAGGCACCACCCACTTGATATTTGTCGAGAATGTGACAAAATGAGGTGTGCCTATAATTCAGGCAATACTACATGTCTGCAATTTGGGTGAAAATTTGAGAATGCAATTGTGCTAACTGGGAACTCATGCCAGAATGTGGTTTACTTTGCGTTGGTGTATTGCAGGAAGGCTCGATTAATTGCTGAAGATGAGGTCGTGCAACAGAAGGAGGCATATAAAAGGCTAACCCTTGATCTGACACAAGTCAAGAAGAACCTACATGACATGTCACAATTGCTGCTAGCTGCAAATATGGCCACAGAGAATGCAGAACGCAGGGTACAGGAAGAATCTCTCGCAAAAGAGGAGATGCAGGTAGGCCATTCTATTGGGCTAAATCACTGGGAATGCAGATCTGTGTTCAACAAAGCTCAGGGGAGTGAATTTACTAATTTAGTTATTTTTCCCCCCATCTGGTATCGGAATCAAGAACATGACTATCGATCAATTCTTCTTTATTGTTAATAAGGTTTGCTAGTTGTTTCCCAAGTGCAAAACAAATCCATACACCGAGTGCACATGTGCAATCCCCAACTATGTGGCGAACGAAAGTGTGTGGGTACCGGTAGCATAGAGTGGGAAACCGGGTGAATGGCAAAAATGGAATTTGCGTCATATAAACTTGATGGTAGAGATACACTTGATGCCAACTCGAACTCAATGTTTGAGGGTCTACATATCACAGTGAAGTTGAGTGAACACATAGAGTTCATGGCGTGTCACATCCTGGGCCACGATCATCCTTCTGACTCCTGCTCATATTATCATTACAGCCATTATCTAGAATATATAGAAACACTCCCGCCATCCTAGAATCAGCACAAACCACCTGCAATCCGCTCTACTCTCCAGTATATAGCAGAATGGGGAAAAACACAGCAGAAAATCCAAAGCAAATCTCGAAATGTCTCAGACTAAAAGAGAAAACTGCAAATGCAATGTTTTCACAACCACAGAAAATTTTTAGATGCACAAAACTCAATGCTGGTTCACATCACTATCTGACCTTCCATATATCTTTGCAAAACGATCTCACTGTGCTCATGAGAGCCTCTGATTCCTCATTCCGGGCACTGGTTAGAGTGATGGAAGCTTTCGGAAAGGAAGGCCAACTAGTTGCAGACCATAGGGTGGTGGCCAGCAGAGGAGGATAGCATCTGGTCCAGACAGCCAGATCAATTGGGGCCAGCGCGAAAATCCAACTAGATACCTTAGAATTCTGGTAACAAAAGACGGTCCCTCTCCACAAAATGGCTGACAACATGTTGTCAAATACGCTGAACAGAATGAGGAGATGGGGCCAGACTTTTGCTTCTCTTTTGGTAAGAGGCCTGGCTCTGAACTCCTCAATCTTTGCGATAATTTGATTGCCTCAATCTTGACCATCCCAGACAGCACAATCTCACAGCTGAACATAAGGGCCAGAGCCTACCTTTGGTCAGGTAACCCTAACAGGACAAATTACATACCAAAGATAGCATGGCACAATATCACACGAAAGGACTTGGAATTAGAGGCCCGAAGCAAAAATGAAATGGATTATCTAAAACAGACCAGGATCTCACATGGGGGAACTTGGCAATAAGCTTGACAAGAGGCAGCATCAGACTACTAGCATCAACAACCTCCCCAGCCAACATGTCTGGTCTTTTCTGGGTACTGGATGAGGAATGGAGCCGAAGAACAGGGAGGAAAGAGTTTCCAAGCTGTACACCCCCACTGGAGAATCCTACACTGGACAACATTGATCAGTGGAGGGATATTCCCAAGGAAAGTACGCAAACCAAAATCAAAGAGGGAAGTAAGGTAACCACTCTTCGGAAACCCCGGGGTACGCGAAGGACGAAGGAGGTAGTCATCATTGGACACTTACTAATAAAGACAAACAATGGTGTAAGTGTCCAGAGGGGTGTGGAAAGTGGCTCACATATGGGACAAAGGAGAAAACGAGAGGAAGTCAGTAGAAACTTCGCTGAAGGGATGCCATCACCTGGCAGACAATCTCCAACAAGTAATACAAAGCACACCGGAAGGATGGAAGATTCTACTCAAAGAAAACATGGGAACCAGTTGGGTGGGGATTTCTTATTCAAGAGCCACTATTAAACCACCAGTACTTTTCTCAGCCATTTTTCTCTGACGTGGCTGTGCTCACGCTGCGGCTTTCGGGGCACATCCTTCTGCAGCTAAATGGTTGATGGCGCCAGCCAAAAGGAAAACACGACAGCTCCTTTTTATTTGGCATGCAGTGTGGAATCCGCTTTGGCAAAACGATGACCAGTTTTCTCACAGACTTCCAAACAGATCTCACCAATCGGTCTTCACTGCTTTTCCAAAACGCCAGAAGCTGTGGCTAACGATGCAGAGCAAATCACTCTATACACATTCCGGTTGAGGAAAGTCAGGGTGCTAGGTTATAGCCTATGGGAGATCTTCAGAATGGACAATAACGGATCTGGAGTTCGACCCTGCTGAATGGGCATCGCGAGTTCACTTTGATTCTCCTTTTTTTGGGTGGGGCAGGGTCCCACAACCCATCCCCCATAGCATCACCCACATACCCCACATTGCACCACCCAGCCCACATAGCATCACCCACTGCCTACGCCACTTAGTATGACCCACCCCATGTGTTTTTGTGTGTTTTTCAGTACATAGTGGTTCTCCATTCGAGAGTGGGTTCTGTTTTATGGGTTCTATGTTTTATTTCTTTGGTTGGGGAAGGTGGTTTCCTGCAGCCCAGCCCACATGTGTGTGTGTGTGTGTGTGTGTGTGTGTGTGTGTGTGTGTGTGTGTGTG